CTTGAATTAATAATATTGTTTTATTAATTGAAATATAGAGAAAGAGAAAGTATTAAATAAATTTTTTATTTACAAATTATTTATAAATTATTTATTTACAAATAAATATTTTTTTTTCCAATTCTAATAATAATGTTAAAACTTGAGATGTTACTGAAAGTCTTTTTTTATATTTGTTTTTTTATTTGTTTTTATATTTGTTAAAAACTTCAAACGGAATATATGTTTGCAATGTAAAAAATTAATTTCATATGATTTTTAATACGCTTATGCTTTCTAATTGCTTTTTTTATTCTTCATATTTTTTCTTAATAAATAAGCATGATTATTCTAAAAAAACTTACTTATGACACTTTATATGTATTTAAAATTCCATTTCTTTCATTTAATCCAATACAATTTAATACAATCTAAAATCACCCACTATCACAATACAATACTTCTCAATGTCCATTTGTCTTATCATTAAAACTTTCAAAGTAAGTCAATAATCAAACAAACAATAAATTTCAAAACAAATTTTGTATGGAGATACTGTTCAACTTTATTCTTTATATATGTATCAATTAAGAAAAAAAGATTATTTTTTGAAAATTTTTGTAAATTACAATGCTCGTGCGAAAATGAATTTATAAAGCATTTCTTTTTGCTGCATGTTGTGAAATAGCATGATATTTTTCAGGGATTATCAAATGAGCATAATAATTTTAATTATTTCAAAAGTGCTCTTTTAGCATATTTTTCCGTTTTAAGAACAGACATGATATCTATTAAGGTATCTCATGAAAGTCTATTTTTCTTATTTGTTACATATTTATTTGGATTTAAAGTCACCGAAATTTTGCTGTAACACAAACAAGAGTCTGTTACATCGGCATCTTAATGAACTGGAGCTCAGAACGTAACAATATAGAAACAATTCACAACATGTAAGTCTCTCCTTACTCACTTCCTTCTAATGACATAATCTTTAATCTATCGCATTTGCACATACTACACTATGCTTATTGTTAAACAACACACATGTAAGTTTAGCTTTTATTAGCATTCGAGATACACATATTGAAACATTATAAAACCACGTTTTTGAGAACAGTTTTTTATATTTTTTAATTAAATATTCAAAATCTTTTTACCTGATTTATTTTAAATTTTCCTTTTTTATTTTTATCTATTAAAAGTTATATTTAATTTAATTTCTCTTTTTTTATCATTTTTATCATTTTATTTAATTATCACTAATATTATTTAAATTATTAAATACAAATTTTATATAAAAAAATTATAATTATAATTAAATGAACAATATAAAATTATAATTAACTCTTATCTTTTTATATCTTTTTATATTAAAGAACTGTCTTTCAAATCTCGTGGTATGTTTACTCGATTCATATCATTAACAAAAAATTAAAAAATGCATTGGCATGTATTCTAGCTTGCATTGATGTTGCTTGAGAGAGAAATCCTCTGTTATCACTTTCCTATGCTATTGCTAAGAATTTCGGATTAAACGCATACAAATTAATGATGTAACAAAATATTAAATTAAATTTAATATTTGTAAAAGAAATTTAAACATCCATTATAATTATAATTTTAATTATTAAATGTTTATTAATTTGAAAGATTTTTCATTTTCAGCAATTTAAAATTTTTATAAGAAGTATAATTTTTTCTAATTATTCTAATCTATTTTATACTCGATTACAGATTTAAATTTAAAAAATATTTAATTATAAAATTTTTTACATACAAAATTATATATATA